ACAATGTGAGGATTTTAGAATAGCTAATGTTTGTCAACTGGATTGACATTACAAGACTTATTTTTACTCAGTAATGGGGCATTTTGCAATCACATGTCTAAATGATCATCAAACACTGCTGTTCATACAACAATATGAAAGCTGCCAAACAGATATGTTGGTTAGCAGGAAGCACCATGGTGTGAAATCTATATGTGAATGTAGAAATATTCAGGTTACCCAAAGTAGAAATGTTCAGTAGCTGAAGTTTCCTTTAACCACTAAGACTATGTATGGAATATCACTTTGGAATTCTCAAACCTTGGCCTAAGAACAATTTTCTTCAAGGTGGAGAAAACTTGGAACAAGGGGTCACAATGCATGTTTCCTGGTGTAAAATGCAATAAAATAGAAACTTGGTCTTACTGCCTCTAGGGTAATGTATTATTACAAGCAAAAGAAGTAAAATAACATGGCTCAAAAATAAGTGGAAGAAGTAAAAATGTGAAAAGTTGAAGGGAATCACACAGCTACTGAACAGAACAAATGGATCAGATCTGAGGTTTAAAATTCTTAGGATTCATTCTCAGCTTAAGCATGATAAAAATTATTTGAAAAGATTACAGCTACTTCTAAGAAGAGAAATAGAAAGAACTAAGACATTACAAGGCTTTTCCCAATAGATGTACAGTATCAATGTATTTTTATTAAATGTAATCTAGCCCCCTTCTTCTCTTTCCTTTACAAAACCTATAGGATATAGTCATAAGTATTTACTAAGTAACTACCAATGTGTAGGTGGGTAGCATGCTTGTGCAGTGAGAAGGATTCTAAAATAGGTAAAGCAATCCACACTCTAGAAGAGAAACAGGTAAATATGTAAATGTTTACAATATGAATACAATGAAGTAAGAGCTCACAGGAACATATATCAGAAAAATGTCTATTAATCACGAACAGTCTTATGTGGGAAGAATTAAAAAATAATGCTGAAATGATTCCTTAGCATACTTTTCATTAATCTATATGCAAAATTATATGATCTGATTAAGATGTTAATAACTATGAGTGTGATTTATTTCGATTATTTCAACCTGAGTACTTTTGAATTTGTCATCTTTTGTGACTACTTTACTTAGTAAATGACTGCTTTATTACTATAGTCCTACATAGCTCCTTCTAAAATTTTACTCAGACTGTTTTCAATGCTTGGCAATTGATGCACTTCCTCAATTTCTAAAAGTAAAACAGAATTATTTCAAAGTAAAACAGAGAAATAGAAAATGGTAATAATTTATGAATATGACTGGACATATCCTTATATAAGGCCATTAGGCCAGAATGAAAAACCATGAAGTGAATCAAGGAATTGATCTGCTACTAGCAAGAGGAACTGCACCGTCTGGAATGCACAGTAATACACAGAAAAGGTGTGGCGATGCAAAGTGCAAAGAGTAATAAAACACCAATGACAACTGGGAACTAGTCCCATGTCTTTTGCACATAACAACCTATTGCAAATAGTTCTCAAACTTACTATGTAAAATATATAGTATTGGTCCTGACATTTTAAAAGATATATTTCTTTCAAGAAGTATACAGAAAGTAAAATGAAATCTTTTTTGTTTGTTTCTTTTATATCCAGCCATCCTCTTTTATTCTCCCTAGGCCACAGGTAAACAGCTATTTTGTACAATGCTTTCAACAATAACCTTAGTTAATCAAAGGTGTCTGCCAAACTCATGGGAACTTTTAACCCACAACTTCCAAGTATGAGGTAAGTATCAAGTTAAAGCTGCCAGGTCCTGCAATATGCCTGCATGTCTCTGCTCTAAGACCAGGGCTCGGAGAAGAGGCTGAAATGCACAGGCCATCCAAGGAGGCAAAGGACTTTGAGTTTGTATCAGCCTAAAACTTTGGTTTTCTTTAGAGAGGAATGCAAATGTTTAGTTTTTTTGTACCTGTGAGAACCATACTACCACACTCAAAGCTAAGTCAATTCAAAGGGTGACACATAATTGCCTGTCAGTTTAATCCTTGCCCTGAAATGCTGAGTGGGTACCAAATAAAGCAAAGCACCATAAGTAGTCCCATCCCAGTCAATGCGGCACATCAGAAACATGTCTAGCACTTCCTACTGATACATTTGAAACACAGTTGCAAACAGTTTTGCCTTCTACCAGCTTAACTAAATTTATTGTAAGTTACTTATAAAAAGAAATTTTTAAGTCTGAAAACTATTATTGTTAACACTAGAGGCTCAGTGCACAAAAATTTGTGCACTCGGGGGGAGGGAGGGTCCCTCAGCCCAGCCTGTGCCCTCTCGCAGTCTGGGACCCCTCGGGGGATGACCACCTGCTGGCTTAGGCCCACTCCCGGGGGAATTGGGCCTAAGCTGACAGTCAGACATCCCTCTGGCAGCCTGGGAGCCCTTAGGGGATGTCCACTTGCCAGCAGGGAGCAGGCCTAAGCTGCAGTTGGACATCCTTAGCGCTGCTGAGGAGGCGGGAGAGGCTCCCACCACCACCGCTGTACTGGCAGCCATCAGCCTGGCTTGTGGCTGAGCAGAGCTCCTCCCATGTGAGAGCACCCTGACCACCAAAGGGCAGCTCCTGCATTGAGCGTCTGCCCCCTGGTGGTCAGTGTGTGTCATAGTGACCACACTGCTGTTAGGGTAAGTTTGCATATTACCCTGTTACTATATAGGATAGAGGCCTGGTGCACGGGTGGGGGCCAGCTGGTTTGCCCTGAAGGGTGTCCTGGATCAGGGTGGGGGTCCCGCTTGGGTGCCTGACCAACCTGGATGAGGGGATGATGGCTGTTTGCAGCTGGTCACACCCCCTTCAGGGTGGAGGTCCCCCCGGGACTGTTAGGGTAAGTTTGCATATTACCCTGTTACTATATAGGATAGAGGCCTGGTGCACGGGTGGGGGCCAGCTGGTTTGCCCTGAAGGGTGTCCTGGATCAGGGTGGGGGTCCCGCTTGGGTGCCTGACCAACCTGGATGAGGGGATGATGGCTGTTTGCAGCTGGTCACACCCCCTTCAGGGTGGAGGTCCCCCCAGGATGCCTGGCCAGTCTGGGTGAGAGGCTGAGGGACGTTTTCAGGCTGGCGGGGGACTGAAGCTCCCAACCCCTCCTTTTTTTTTTTTTTTTTTTTATTCTGGGATTTATTTACCTTCTATGGCTGTCACTGGAGCTGAGAGCCGGCTTTAGCTCTGAGGCTCGGCTCCAGCTCTGAGGCCTCCGCTGCTGAAAGCAGGTATCTGGGCTTTGTTTAGCTTCTATAATTGAAACACTGTTGCAACTCCAGCTCTGAGGCCCGGCTGGCTGAAAGCAGACTTCTGGGGATTGTTTAGCTTCTATAATTGCAACATAGTTGCTTAGAGTGCAGCTCAGAGCTGGGCGGCGGCAGGCGGGGAACCTTGGCTTCCTCCGTCACTGGAGCAAGCAAGCCTCCTGTTCGCTTCAGCTGCCTGGCTGCCAGCCGCCATCTTGGTTGGCAGTTAATTTGCTTATTGCCCTTATTAGCCAATGGGAAGCGTGTCGGAGGTACGGTTAATTACCATGTTTGTCTATTATTAGATAGGATAACTTACTTAAACATGTGCCCAGAAGATGGGAATGAGCTTCCTGACACCATACTGAGCATCCCCTTTCCTGCAACTTCTCCTACACTATGTAAAATTCACCAACATCATGAAGGAATAAAGGGAAATCATGGCAAGGATATCAAGGAAAACTAAAGTAAAATAGAACCTCGATGCATATTGAAAGAGAGAAGTATAAGAATGTTCAACAATTTTTACTGAGGTTACAAAGACATCAGGAGTTCAGGAATGGCTTTCAAAACGTAACTGGATTGTAATTCATTTCCTAGGTCTTCCTCTTTTTCTTCATACATTTTTTAAGTATCCTCACAGGAAGTAGGAGGCCCTTTTTATAAGATGGTGAAAAAGTGAAAGTCATTATATTTTGTTACCAAGTAATGAGTTCAGTAGGCATCACGGCTCCTCTAGTCTGCACCCTTCCCTGAACCTAAGGCTTCCTTCCTCAGGAGGGCAGAGCTTCTGGGGTGGAGAGAAGATCAGGACTGAGAGGGCTTAGGAATAGGGTAGGGATGTCAATTACATACTCAACTGCAAGTCTTTAAAAAGGCTTGAAAGTTAATTATTTCCTTTCTAACTAAACCCCATCAACAATATTCATTTCAACATTGGTTGTGTTAAACAGCAGTTTAAAAATGGCTTGATCAAAGTATTCTGGATATTGGAGGATATGCAATATATTCTGGTATTTGGAGCATATGCAAAATTGGAAATCTGTCCAAAGAGCCATTTTAAAATCTCACCTTTTATTACAGATAAAAACAGGTAAGAAAGCCCTTGGGGAAACCAGTTATTCTCTAGGTCTTATTCAAAAACATCAAATCAATTTATATTTATTGAACATCTGCCTAATTTATCTTAGATTCTGCAATTTATCTTAGATTCTGTTTCTGTAAACTGAAAAATTTAATGCCTGTTTCTGTGGGAACTATAAGTATTTTGGAAGCATGTCCTGTTTGATTTTCCTATTTTAGCCTTACAGAGCAGCCATAGACATGTGTGAGACAGGAGCTACACCGCCTCAGGAGAAGAGGGATGGTTTAAATATCAACCTACGATTTATCTACTGGAGTTTACTTTGCTTTGGAATCTGACATACTATAAGTAGATTCTGATCTACAGTAAATTATGTAATGTAATAGGTAATAGATAAGGGACATTTTGAAATCAATAGTGTTATAGAAGGGCTACTTAAAACTAATATAAACTTACACATGCAAAAGGAGAAATATAAAAACAACAAAAATATCATATTACATAAAAGAAACTTAAACATATGATTTTTTTTAACAACTATTCACACAAAACACTTCTCAGTATTATTTCCTGAATCAAGATGAAGAAAACTGAAAAGATAGATATTGCTAAGGAATATAAGGGAGAATTCACGTTGCTAATTAAACCTGAATTATACCTGCCATGCTGTAAGGCAAGAGGTGCACATCAAATGCCCACAGGGCTCAATCTTGACATCTTTGTCGTTCTCAGCACAAATTTTACAGAGCTGGAAAGTGGAGCCCATTTCACAATATAATTCATATTGTTCCTGCAATTTGGGCAAAAAAGTAAATTAATGTTATTTCTTGAATGAACTTTTAACATTAAATATTCTCAAATACCATGACTTGCTCCTGTGAGGATTATGTTGCCATTTGAGACATGTTTTAAATTGATAATGGTAATTTGGTCTACAAAAAAATTTTTTTTTTAAGGATTTGAGCTTTTATTAAAAGGCAACGGTATAAGCTCTTTTACTACTTGGGATTATTTAATGTTTTGTACCATTCTTTTAGGAAGGGACTTGCTTCAAAAGTCACAGTGAGCCCTAGCTGGTTTGGTTCAGTGGATAGAGTGTCAGCCTGTGGACTGAAGGGTCCGGGGTTTGTATCCAGTCAAGGCCACATGCCCGGGTGGAGGGCTCGATCCCTAGTAGGATGCATGCAAGAGCCAGCCGATTAATGATTCTCTCTCATCATTAATGTGTCTATCTCTCTCTCCCTTTCCCTTCCTCTCTCAAATCAATAAAAATATATTTTAAAAAATAGTCAGAGTGATACAAAAGACAAGTATGGTTTTAAAAAGCAATGTAATTAACTTTATTTTTTTTTGTAAATGCCACATGCTCATCTAATTTTATTGTCAAATTACCAAAATCTAAGAATAAACATAATTCTGGCTGAACATTAAATTTTATTTCTTAGATACCTATAGAAATTCCAGAATGGAAGGAAAGTAGCATTTGCCAAGCCCTTCCTGCATGTTAGGTACTGTGACCCACATTTATATGTCATGTAATCTCCAAAGCATAATAAGATATATTGAATTAAAAAAATAATAATTGAGGCTCAATAAGTTTAAATTTTCCTCAAATTCTATATTAAATTTCTAAATTGCATACTTTTCCCCCAATCTTAATCACTTCAGCAATCAAAAATTGATTTATTAAAACTCTAATTTACTAGTTCAGAACCTTTTGGCATAGTACAATTTTCAGTGTTCAAATATTGAAAAGATCTGTCACAAAGGAGATACAAATATATTGGTGAGTGTAAAGAAAATACAAAAAAAAAAGTGTTATTTAATTGGGATACAAAAAAAAGGAATTATAGAAATAAAATTTGTTTAAATAAGGCAATGTTCTAATCTAGAAAGTGCCTAGGTACCTGGTACTGGTAGGATAAATAAATGACAATATTTAATCCCTAACCTACTAAAAGATTTTACAATCTTGGTGAGGAAAAAATATAGCTATATACATAAATAGATACACAAATATGCACATATGCACATTAATATGTAAATTATGCCTACCATAATGGATATATGTGTGACTATATAAATAATTTTTTTTAATTTAAGGAAAAATACAAGAGAGAATAGATCAAGATGGAAAAAAATAAATCTAAAGTAATCCAAAATAAATTATAAATCACCAAAGTCCCTAAAATAACTGATAAGTTTTTAGGTAGTTTATGACATCCAAAGGACCAATTTGCAATTATAAAAAAAAATTTACCATAACCTAAAAACCTAGATGCAGAATTTAATTCAATGTAATGGGTACACTAGTCAAATATGTATGAGTCATTTAGGAAATGGTACTATTCTTGAATATGTATTTTAAAGCAATGGCTTTATAAAAAAATTTTATGAAATATAAAATTTTTGTATTAAAATATTATATACTATAGAATCACTATATAATTTTAAAAATGGAAGTCATATATTACATTTTAAAAACTGCCCACAAATTGTACATATGTCAACAAATATAATAATATCAAGACCACTGGGACTAAAATCTAAATAATTAGAAATAAAATAAAAAGTATCTATTGTCTTCCCCAAAACCATTAATTTCTGTTTCTTATTAGATTTTTATTTATTATACACATCACAAAGCCCAGCCAGTGTGGCTCAGTTGGTTGAGCATCATCCCATGCACCAAGAGGTCTCTGGTTCAATTACTGGTCAAGGCACATGCCTGGGTTGTGGGCTCAATCCCCAGTAGGGGGTGTGCAAGAAGCAGCTGATTGATGTTTTTCTCTCATAGATGTTTCTATCTCTCCCTCCCTCTCTCTCTAAAACATCAATAAAAACATATTTTAAAAATATGTTATAAAATATTTTAAAACTAGATTATAAAATGCTTTCATCCTCTCCCTGACTCCCCAATATTTTTACTTACTCAGTTACAAACACTGTTACCAGTTTGGTGTTTCTTAATTTTTATTTTCTAAAATTATTTTAATGTGTTCATATCTGCTCATTTCTTTATTCACAGAAATTAAACTTACACAGTGTAATTTTACAAATTGAAATGTTATATAATTGAGTGTCCCATAAATGGAAGATTTTTACATAAAATACAGAAGTGCCCATGTGAATATGTAGAACTACCATCCTCCTGCTAATGACTTTTCAGTATAATACAGTATGGGTATAATTTTTTTAAACTATGATAGAATATTTCAGTATTTTTTAAGTTTCCATTTTTATGAAAAATGCTAAAGCAAACACCTGGGGTATAGAGCTTTGTGTATATATGCAAGTGGCTTATATATGGAATCTAGAGTCAAAGGTATTTTTATTTAGATTTTGGTAATTACTGAATGTCACCCAGTTACAGTCCCATTCATAATCTATGAGGCTGCCAACAATGGATTTATAAAAATATAATTACTATCTTCAATAGGGTTCACTTATTCATTTGACTCTAAAAGCTAATGCCTATAAATTATCCTAATCTGCTATGGAGTTTCCTAAACCTATGGCTCTTGTCATATTTATCTACCTACGTTTGGATTTATCTACCTATCTCCCCAAATAACTAACAAAATTATATTGGAAGCAAGAACATTAATGGCAAAAATTTTTATTTAAAAAATGGAAAAAGTCATGTGTTTTTTTTCTTTCAAACACCCTTAGAATTCCTTAAGTATCTTTTGCATTAAGTGCCTGCACATGATTTTGGCTCTAGTGTAAGTAGAGAATCTTATTTATGTCAAAACATTCTAGATACTTATTAATTATAAATGCATTTGCACAAATTGTCCTTACCTGTGTAACTTTTATATGATCGTGTGGTGTAGGTTCACATAATCCAGTTAAATCAGGATTGTAACTTCTCCCATCAGGATAAAGGTAGCTGGAATTTAAAGATAAATTTTATTATTATAAAGTTATATTTTAATTGCAACTAGGTTATTTTATCAGATTCTTCTATATTAAAGCACACATTTGAATACTTCCTTTTTATTTAACTTATATCAAGAACCTATTCCATCTCTATTTCCATAATATTGTTATTTTTAAAACACTTAAAATCTAGAATCATTTTCACATGAGAAATATATAACAAATATGAACTCAGCCACTAAGCAACCATTTTCAAATAAATACCTTTACTATATGTCTGTTAGGTAATTTAAAATTTTATTTTACTGGTCTCTCATGTTCTATTCCAATATACTTTGAACATGCATATTTTTGCAATTCTTACATTTTTCATCTGAAGCACAGTTAATGTCAAATGTATCATTTTAAACCATATTTAAAATAAGGAGAAAAATGAAATTAAAGCCCATAATTTCCCCAAAAAGTTATTCAAATATTTATATGGTGTCCCTGTTTCTCCACTTGCCCGTTCTCTCTTTCCATCTCACCTCTACTCACCCAACACATTTAAAGAAATTAGAAAGTGTTACAAGTCCATGTTTCACTTACTTCAAATCAAGCTATAAACACAGTTTTATGAACATAACCTTCCATTATTTGAGAGAACTGAAATAACTAACTCTCTAAAGTTATAGTAATAATGCCATCTTGCGGTGCTAAAACAGTTTTTACTAAGAAATTCATTAAAAATTAAGTTTATTGGATTGGTAAATACCTATTTTTCATTTTTTAATGGCAGTATTACTGCTGGATTTTTTCAATTCATTGCTATGACTAATTTTGTTCAGTATCTTTCTGTGCTAAATGGCTTAAATGAAAAATTAAGAATATACTACTACAGTGGTGAATATTTTAAAGGGCAAACTATACTAAAACTATTCTGTGAAGTAACAAAAAAATTTATCCTTAAATAGTCTATAAATATGTTAGTGTTAAAATTTACCTAGGAAAACGAGAAAAAAATTAACTTAGAGAACAGACAATTCTCAAATGGTAAGGAACAAATCAATGAGATAAATCTTTAAGACTTAGGAAAAGTGGTTGATTATATCTGAATATGATACAAAGTTATAGTGTCATTATGGGGATGGGATAAAATTCTACAAATATTAAATGAAGAGTGATAAGCAACTTTCTTTTTATACCCTAAAGAGGCCAATTTTGAAAATTATTATATAACATTTTGATCATTGCACTTCAAAAACATGAAATTTTATGAAGTCAGAAATGAAAGATTACAAATATGACAATAAGACTGTTAGAGAAGAGGTTAAAACACTCTCTTTATTTAATGTATAAAGAAAGGACAATTCCATGACTACTGTCATGGAATTAATTCAGTAAACAAGGGTGCTACTGATGAGCCCCTTTACAAAGGCTGTGAAGGAAGAAAAAATCTTGGCTGGTTATCAAAGTAAATTTATCACTTATGTCATATAATATTGGATTAAATATCAGGAAAGAACAGCTGACCCTGATGATAGCTGGACTAAGATAGATGATATGCCTCCCCTGTTTCTACTGATCTTAAAACAAAAAATGATGTAATTAATGTAATATCTATTTTAACCTAATCTAAAACCTGATCTACCTATCAGATTAAAATTCTGATCTGATCTATATTTAATCTAATTCATCCCTAAAGTACAAATTCAACTCATCAAATACCCCTGAAGATGTGTGTGTGCATGTGTGTTTGTGTCAATATTAACAGTTAATTTATGTAGGCGTTCAGAGGCTAGACTATTGATTAAAAATCATAGAGTTTTGGTTTTGATTGACTTTTGAAAAATAGATGGAAGGCATTGTAAACAATATACATAAGCCATATCAAATCACAGAGTTGCCCACTCACAACCTCTATTTATAAATTCAAACTTTAAAGCATATTTTCTTAAAAGTAAGAATTCTGCAATCATAGTGCATCAAAGCTACACATGTGAATCTCTGCTGCACTAAAGGTCAAGTATAACTGACTGAGAACAGCAAATTTATCATAATTAAGAGAAAAAAATAGTACCACAGTTTGCCATACAATTCTCATATAAGTATTTCTAGAAAGCTCACAACTTTAAAAATGCATTATTTTTCTTCATATAGATCCCTGTACTTTTTTTTTTTTTTGCAATTACTTTTGAAAAGGTAACACTTAAATCATTTGCTCTTTGTTGACTCTGGTGGACCTCCTCCTGCTAGGTTTCTATCACAATCCATGGCAAGTTGAATCACCTATGTCTCCAAGTTACTCAGCAAAGCAAAGCGCTCAACAGTCAGTGTGATGAAGCGACACTGGAAATACAACAAAAGGAGGAAGTGGCATAGGACTAAAATGAATGACAGATATGTATACTATGAAGGGACTTACCAGGTTGCCTAAACTTTGTGGGTGGGCAAAAGTAGGCTTACAGTTGTTCGTATGCAAAATAATACAAGAATTAATAAATAATAATACAAGGATAAACTGTTTTGCATCCTCACAACTGTAAACCAACTTTTACTTTTGCCCACCCGTGTGTGTGTGTGTGTGTGTGTGTGTGTGTGTGTGTGTTTTGTATGTTTAATATCTATTTTAAAATAACTTTTAAGTAGCAACTTCTTTTCTGATAAAAGATATAAAATCTCATTGCCATTTCATGTTGGAATTTATTTGCTATAAATATAGGTAAATTCAAATAAGTAGGTTACCTTCAAATAACGATTTTTAAAAGATAAACAATAAAAACAAAGGAGCATCCATTTCTTAGTCTTGAAATAAAAAGCAAGCAATCACATCACCAGCCTCACACTATCCATTTACTCCATCTCAGAGCGGCCTGTATTTTTCACATTTGTGAATGTGCCCTGATGCCCATTTCTCATACTCACAATCCTTCTCTGCTGCCATCAATCAGTGCTTGAAATAAGGGCTTGTTATGAGGTATGGTCTGTAAGATATTGCCATCCCCTGTCACATAGCCGATGGCCCACTGTCCCAACCTAGTGCAGCTTAACCGGAAAATGTAGCTGTAAAACATGAGGAAATTTTGTTTAATCACATTTGAAATGTACTACACAAATTGTTCAGTTTTTTAAGGTAAAGAATAAACAGAATTATTTAGAATTCCTAATATAAATTTTCCTTCTAAATTATTTTAACACTGTTGTACTTCTCTATGTATTGAACTGTAACAGAAGCAATGATCATTTCATTTAAATATCTCCAGAGTTATATGAGAAAGTAATTGAAGTTGTAAACTATCAAGTGATTTATTGCCATCACCATTAGGTAATGCCCTGGCTGGTGGTTAGAACATCACCCCGTGCACTGAAGGGTTGCAGGTTCAATTCCCAGTCAGGGCAGACACCCAGGTTGTGGGTTTGATCCCCAGTCAGGGTGTATAGGGGAGACAACCAATCGATGTTTCTCTCTCTCACTACCCCCCTCCCCTCCACTCTCTCTTCCTCTCTCTCTAGAATCAATGAAAAAAAATATGCTTGGGTGAAGATTTTAAAAAAAAGAAAAAGAAAGAAAGTGCTGGTGGTAGAAACAGCTATGACAAATTATTTGGAAATTAAAAATAAAATACATGGGTAAAAATTTAATTCCCTGACAGAAATTGAGCCAGTTTCTACTGTGAAATTCAATTACTTTATAATTTAAAAATTACACAGTTTTGGATGTTAATAATTTGTATTATTATTGAAAAAAATGTTTTTTATCACAAATTCTAGCCATACATCTTTAAATAAGAGCTCAAAAGAGCTAATCTATGAATATTAAGAACCTCACTTTGGTTATAGAACCTTATGAAATAACTTCTCAAGAAAATGTAAAAAACATCCTCCTAGACAGCCTGAAAACAGAATATCAACCCATCAATTACTGGCATCCTTAATTGGATCAACAAATTCCACACAGCCTTATTATGACTGCCAGTTGGATCCCCAAAACGGCATAACCTGAGAAACCCCAATGTCCTTGGCAAAGGCCCAACTATTCTCTTTACCGTGAAGCCAACAAGATGAAATACTTTCCAAGACAAATGACCCCTTAAATATATATTCTATAAAGCAAATATTTATCAAAATTATTTGATTTGTTCTTTAAAAGAGTTTTCCTAAACACATTTTCAATGCCCTATCACACTTTACATATTCTAATTTACCGCAGACTAAACATTTCATCTTTAACTAACTAACACTTAATAGAATAAATCGTTACAAGGCAGGATGAGAAAAAAAAGAAGACATCTTTTCAGAGAGCACTAACTTTTTATTCAGAGAACTATTCTAATAGTGATGAGACCTGGTTTTTGTTTCCAACACTGTCATTAACTATCTCCAGATCTTGAACCAGAGAACATAAAAGGGACTCAGTTTCCTTATTATATTTATAAAATTGAACAGGATAATTCCCCAAATAGCTTCTGTGTTAAATTGGTAAGATTGCATGATCCCAACCATATCACATCTTTCAAATCATACTTCATGAACAAAAAGATATTTTAATGCCAATCTAGACAGTAAAAATTATGGTAAATTCTGGCTTGAGAGATCCTTGGATGAAACAAAATGACCCATCTAAGCCACTGTCCAAAATATCTGACTTGCTGTCATGGTCACAATGAGAAACAACTCTCCTTAATCTTAACAGAAGACTTCAACCTGAGCTAAACTGTTTGCACCCACTACCTTCTTTTTATATACCATACAAATTGTTAAATATAAAAAGGGGGAAATTTTCATTATAGCAAAAAAGAAAGGAATCAATAATAGTGGCTTGTACTTGGAAATATTTTTTAAAAGACATCATTTATACTACAAATCAAATAAAGATAATATTAGAAAAGGTAGACTTTAAAAAAAACACCAACCAAATTCCTTCCTTAAATGAAATGATCTATCTATCTATATATATATATATGAAAGGCTAAGCGACCATCGGACTGGTAGCTATGACACGCACTGACCACCAGAGGGCAGCCACTCAACACAGGAGCTGCCGAGCTGCAGTGACTTGGCATGGCAGTTCTCGGGGGACGTACCAGGAACCAGAGAGAAGCGAGCCAAATTTGGGGGGGAGTCACCTGAGAACTGCCCTCTCACAATCCGGGACCCCTTGGGGGATTTTGAAGAGCCGGTTTTGGCCTGATTCCTGCATGCCAGGCTGAAGGAGCCCACCTGCCAGAGGGACTCCGCTCACCTGCAGACACCCTTCTAGCCAAGGCGCCGCCCCAGGTGAGGCAGGCCGGGAAGGGACAGCGGGAGGTTGGCTCCAGGGCGTGTCTAGCCCATCTCGCCCAGTCCAGCTCTGCCGGCCACCTTCTAATTAATTTCCTTTCAATGTGCAGGAATCCATGCACTGGGGCACCAGTCCCTATATAAAAAGCGTATACTTGTGGACACTGAAATGGTGTCTCTGTACTAAAATGTGAGTGTGAGGGGACAGGTCTCCACTGTCCTTACTGCCATCCCCAGCACGCCACTTACCATGGCACAAATGGCTAGTATGTGCCTAATGTATTTCTAGATGAGATGTGGGGAAATGCATTAACCAGGGAGGAGACATTTTCTGATGCCAGATTTGTCATAAATAAGGGAGGATTTCTTGGGCAAAATCAAAAGGGCTGACCAAACAGTCAACCTCTATGCATATCACTCAGTTTATCATCTGGAAAATAAAACCAATTCTCAGCTGTAAAGAACTATAAGGTATAATGGAAGAAGTTCTCTTGGACATGAAATTGGCTTGGTTTATAACAATGGGTTATTTATGTTTATGTACTTATATATGTTTATATGTACTTATGTTTATCATAGAGCCAAATTAAATGTCTTGAAAAATAATTTAAAAATGAACATGAGCCCTAGCCAGTTTGGCTCAATGGATAGAGCGTTGGCCTGTGAACTGAAGGGTCCCAGGTTCAATTCCGTTCAAGGGCATGTACCTCGGTTGCAGGCTCCAGGGCGAGTGCAGGAGGCAACCAATCAATGTTTCTCTCACATCGATATTTCTCTGTCTTTTCCTCTCTCTTCCACTCTCTCTAAAAATCAATGGAAAAATACCCTCAGGTGAGGATTGAAAAAAAACAAATAAAAATATGAACATGAATCTTACATTCAAATATACACATACAATTTTATACATAAACACAGGTGTCATGAAAATAGTCAATATGCTAATATTCTATTCCAATTTGAAAACCAGAACTCTGAGACCTAACAAATTTCTAAGTTCATCAAATTACACAGTATTTTCTTTCACTTTATGAACATATGTTTCAGAACAAGCACAATGTATCATTTCAAAAGATTCACTTAAGAAGCATGGTCTATTAGCATTTCCCTCCCCTCGCCCCCATGGGCATTATTGATCTACTTAAGAGAGTCATAAAAGAGTTTTCCTCTTTAGTACATCACATAATATGACTGCTAAAAAGTCCTACCTTCCAGGTTTGGTGCTGTATTTCTGCAGTCGTGCCTTAACTTCATCATACGTGAGAAATGCCATGTAACCCGGATGTGTTACAGCTAAGAAATTCCAATTCCGTAAAATAGAACCCCAAGGCTAAAAATATAAATAAAACATATTAACTAGATAATACCAGCTATCAACTACCAGCTCATCATTTAATACACTTACTAAAATTCTCTTTTATATTTTTAATGTGAATATGAGCTTATGTGGCTTAGGCCAACTTTTATTATCCAACAGTAAATATGCAAAAACTTACTCTCATTTTGGAAAAGGATCATTAGGCAGAAAACATTTCCTAGGTATAGAAAACAGAGAACAAAAAAGAAAAACCACATAATATCTTTCTACAAAAATTCCCAATAAAGCACTGTGATAATTTAAAACTTAAACCACATCTCTCTTCTCTCCAAAACCCTCCAACTCTGAGAAAAGCAAACGACCTTATTAATGGCCCTAGAAGAACCTTACAGGGTGGATCCCCAGTTCCCTTTCTTCCCCACCTGCAGTGATTCTCCCACTTTCTGCCTCTTCTCCAAGCATGCTGGCCTCAGTGCTGATGGCCTGAACACAACTGCACTCTCTCACCACAGAGCCTTTGCATTTGCTGATTCCTCAATCTCAATTCCCTTTCTCTAAAAAAACCACAATTGCTTTCTCCTCAATAAAGCCTTCTCAGACCAGCCTATTTAAAACTGTTACCTATCATCACCCTGTAAGTCTGTTTTATTCTCTACTGTACCTTTAAAGTGTTTCATTTTATAGAACAAGGCACCATATCACAGAATGTAAGTGATTTGGCAAAATTTACACATCAACCATAAGCCACATAAGCAAAGAACGTGCTTGTCTTGCTCACCAAAGGGACACCAGCGCTGATGCCAGAAACAGTGATGAGATAGGACTATAGGACTATCCCTGTTGAACAGCTCCCGCTAGTCAGTGACTTGTCTACAAGGCCCTGACTCCCAATCTGGTGTTCTTCCCCTGGTAACGCATCCTGTACTCACATTTGGTTTTATACTTGCACAATTATGAAATTAGAAAAGGTTTACGGTTTAAAGTGAGTTATGTAAAAATCTTTCCCAGAAATACACACACAAACACAAGGTTTGTATCATTCTCTCTTTAATGTGATTAGCTGTTCCTCACTAGTTACCATGGCAAGAGAGAAAAGAAAGGCAATCAGTGACAGACAACTTCGCTTGAGGGTGTGACTGAATCATCTCGGCCACATTTTTAAGGCCGAAGCTACATTTTTCCCAAGCAATTGGCAGCACACTGTATCTGTTGTGCCAGATTATTAACTCACATCTTCTACATGAAAGGGGAAAAAAAGGTGGTTTATGTTGCCAAGTGAAAGTTGTAGAAATAGTCATCTAGAAATGATTATTGGTAGAGGACTTCTGCTTTTGTTTGTTTTGAGACTTGCTTCTCGTAACTGTTAAGGGTTTCAAATTTGCAAGGCAGAATTCTTTAAAGATTATATCCTTTGTGACAAGAATAACAATGGAAAGAATGATTTAGTAATGAAGAGCTTTATAACCTTTTCTGACAAAAGAAAAATCTTTAAGGCATAGCCCCATCAAGGTGAAATATCTGACTGGGCAGACAGGCAGACAGGAGCTCTACAGAACACTGTTATGAGAGCCTTGTCCATGTACTTGAACAAAATATATTTTTAATTTTCCTCTTAAGGCATGACCAAAAATTACATAAACAATGCTTGGAAGAAAAGCAGCATATGTGTTTGTTTGTTTTTTTAAACTGAGAAAAAAAACTGCTATTATAGGCATGGAGTTTTGTTTTCTTATGTTCTGCTTCCCTATCTAAAATGGACAAGGATGAAAAGAATATAAAATATTTGGGTCACTTCCATTGAAGTCCACACAAATTCACGGAACAGTTGTTTTTTTAAAAATGCTGAACTTTATAGACAGCCAATGCACAGATGAAAATACAAGTGAAAAAAAAATAAAGTTTGAATTTTGAGCCAACTGCTGCAGTCTTTAGCAACCATTTATTAGGACTAATCCAGGGGGCCAGCTTCTACTGCAAAAATATTTATGTAATAGAAAGAGTCTGTGTACTGTTTTTCTTGTGAATGTAACCCACAGTCAGAAACATGTGGTAGTTATGTGTTATTGGAGGGTTTTTTTTATGTATTTTGCCAACTAATGGTTTAAAGAAGGGAAAACAAAGTGCTTTGGAGAATAAGAATTATTTTTGCAATTTTGTTTTTAGAGATTAAAGGAAATCTTTTCACACACATTAAAACAAAATTATCTGGAAGTTTGTAATGACTAATAATAAATTAATGAAGTGAATTCAGAAGACTAATCCCTCCATTCTCCCCAAATTCTATTATTTGCAAAAACAGCGGTTTACTAAGTTACAACTTGCGCTGGAAGAGGGGCCTCAGCTGGTCTGCCCGGATACTTCTTCTTACTATTTGCTATAATGAGTGATTTTCCTCCTCTTATTTTTCTCCCTATTCCCTTGATGCTATATATTCCATTGTATATCCCCCAAATCACTCATTCATCACCCTGTTGTCCTCAAATATATAGCTCCATTTCTCAGCAACCAGTCTTCTCTAGTAGTGGCGGAAATTGAGGGAGAAGGGAAACAGCAGCCCCAGGGAGGGGGAAGAGAGAAGCAAAACCCTGTATTTCCATCCCAGGACTTTAGTACCTGCCAATCCGTTTTTGAACTACCTGAGAGGAGAAGATTCAAGGCAGAAGAAAGAGGAAGAAATATGGAAGGTAGCCATTGCAAGTTCTTTTCCGTGACTCCCCAGCATTTGTCCCAGTTTTGGCAGAATAACAGAATGAGGGAAGAGAGGAAGAAAGGCAAACAAGCATCCGGCTTTCTTCTCTCATTTCCTAGTCATTCTCAACTTCATCTCCTAGCCTCCGCTGACTCCTTCAAACCCTTATGCTACTTCTCAGTTTCTGACTCCTATCTTGAGAGGGTACCTTGCCCACTTTTAGATTCCACTCTGCTAAATACCTCACATCCAGCAACTGAGAGCTAGAAGAATTCACTGCCAATTAACCAGCATAGCACAGCTGCAGAAGAAATATTTGTTCATGCAGCGACAGTATTCACAAACCTACATTTTTGTATAGAGTACACAATTACATCTTAAAATTATTACTCTATTTTTAAAGTTGTATAAAAAGAAAAGATCAGTAAAAGTTAACAATCCACTTTGGTATTCATAGAACCATTTTTTTCTTATTTTAAGTTACATGTATGATTACTCATTTAAATAATAAAACCAAAAGAAGCAAAATATCTCAGAAATCTATAGGGGCTAATGGCAGTTCTTTAGCTACTTCTGTAGTTATGTGTCTTAAAAGGAATGAGGCACTCTATGGTCCACAAGGAAGAGTTTGGTTTTATCTAAAACTTGTCACAGTAGCTCTGCTTAAAAAGATTCCTTTCCTCTCCCATTCCGATGGCATGAATAAGATATACATAACTTACTACATTAAGATAACTTGAGCTGTTTTAAAGCAAAACAGCTTATAAGCAAACTAGAGGCCCGCTGCACGAAATTTGTGCAAGGGACTCAGCCCTCGCAGCCCCGACTGCATCAGCCCTCTCAGCCCTGGCTTCGTCCAGAAGGTTGTCCGGATGGTCGTTCTGCTGTCCGGTCTAATTAGCATATTAGCTCTTTATTATATAGGAGGATATGTGCACATATTAAACAGCAATTTGGCTAAGTGTTTCAACAACATTAAGTTGCCCGCATACTTTTAATATATAACTGAGTTAGTCTAGTGTTTAACATCCACACTAACAAAGTCATCCAGGCTCCCCCCCAAAAAACACACTCTTTCCAGAATAAACAGGTTTAATGTATGAAAATAACCTTTGTTCTCTTCCTTCACAAGTGGACGAGGCAAAGCTCCTGCTATTTAGAATGTCTTTAGAATTCTAACTAAAGTATTTGGAAAATTATCAGAAACCTTTAAAGAAAAGAGAGGTTCCATTATAAAATGATCAATAACAGGAAACACAACCTTTTTCCAAAATTTATCTTAAAATCATATAAGCTGACACCTACATATACCAAAGGAATAATCAGGAAATTGCAGTAAATTGAAAATAAGCAAAAGCACACTTTCTGTAGTCATTTATCTAATTTCTTATCCTATATGCCTAGGCAGAATTATGACTTTAAAATTGTAATTAAGTAAAATGTATTCTATGAGTATTGCTGACAAGAGTTAATTTGCCTTCTGTTAACAGGTTCTTTTATAAATTGAAAGTTAATCCCACCCAATCTTGTTTTCTTACATGAATCAGTCACCCGATCCTTGCAGGCTAGTGCAAAGCAGAGTCATAAATCACAGAAGCAAAATACTTATAACATGGCAAACACAAAAACCAATATTGTACTCTTAACATTTGTTGAAAGCTGGTTTCAAAAAGAATAAATCCAACTAAGACTAAAATAATAAGAAACTGCATCAGATTATAAGCAAGCCTGATTTCTGATCAAATTATCTCACTGACTATATAATTTATCAGAAAGATTTTAGGTGGGACTCTTTCATTTTATGACTACTTAAATTGAATCCCATAGATGGTAGGGCCAAATTCAAAACAAATTTTAGGTATTCATGTTTAGGAAAATTCCATTAAGACATACAAAAGAATAAAATGATAGTGTCCAGCTTCTCTCATATGATACCTGCTTCTCTGAATAGTTAAGTGAAGACAATTATAAAGGACTAATTTTTTAAAAAAACACAATAAACAAGATAAGGTTAATCTCAAATCATATATATTAGGGAGAAACGAGGGAAAAGGCTTCATTTCTCAAAATAGATATTCGCTAAATGCCCTATTACATTGATGAAATATTATGTGGCAACTGAACACTGAAAATTATACTGATGAAATATTTTTTAACATGCAAAGATGTTTATAAACTACGACTGAATGAGCAAAGCAATTGGTAAAACAGTACACAGAGTAACTGCCTATACTAAACAGGATCAATTTGCTATTTATTTCCAAGTTTACTTTTTACCTTCTCACCTAATGAAAGTGGGAGGAAAAGGAGAGAAGTTGGGATACAACCCCAGCACAGTTTTTGGCAAACTCATTAGTCAACAGAGCCAAATATCAACAGTACAACGATTGAAATTTCTTTTGAGAGCCAAATTTTTTAAACTTAAACTATATAGGTAGGTACATTGTTATTAACTTAATTAGGGTACTCCTAAGGCTTAGGAAGAGCCACACTCAAGGGGCCAAAGAGCCGCATATGGCTCTTGAGCCCCAGTTTGCCGACCACGGCCCCAGCAGATGCCCACCCATAAAAGTTGCATTATATCAGTTATTGGGCCAAAAAGACTAACGAAGTAAAGTGAGAAACCAAATAAGGAATTAAAAACAAAGCTCTTTTTCATGAATCTTCTCAAAGCTAACAAGCAACTGTTAGGCTCACAACACCTGGTAATCCAAACAAACTCTACATTTACAGCAAAGACCAAAATGTAACATCAATGACTAGCTTTAAAATTATAGATTATTTCCAATATGCTTGTGTATGTGTGCATGTATTTGTGAAAGAGAGACACAGACACATGTGTGCACACAAAATCACATAAGCTCTGTACACACATACAAAAGAGGGAAGGATTAAGCAAATGGAAACTTACCTGAAATAGCCTGGTAAAAATATCAAATTCAAAAACTGAAATATAATCATTACACGTTAAATCAATTGTTGATTTTAGAGCCATTGCTTCCAGGCCAGAGCTAATTTGATGGACCTCATGAAGGCACTGTCTGAATACTTTCCATGGCACGATAGTTCTGTGCAAGAAAAAAAATGAGTAATTGAATCAAGTGTCATTTAAGACATACCTTCCATTGAACACACAATTCCATCATAACATTAATATAATTGCATTTGTACTAAAAGACAAATAGTTAAGAATATTACCCATAACTCAGAACACATGCAATGGGTTTTGCTAGCTGGATTATGTTTCATTTGCTAAGAATAGGACTGAAATCTAAATCAATTTTTCTCTCAAACAGTCCTTGGCTATCAAGATATTTCTATAAATACATGTGAAAGAAGGCATTAGGTCAAAGTCCTGTATGTCTGAACTCTTTGTGTATATAAGATTATTGTAACTTAGAATCGAGTTAAATATCCCCCCTCTATTTTCTTAAAATAATTACAAGACAATGGGTTCATATAATAGAATCCTTTGTTCACTGCACCATTTATCTACCATCTTGAGAAAGACAAGGTGAAAAGTCATTAAGACATTTCAGCCATCACCCAAAGTTTTCTGCAGAGGAAAAAAAGCATGTTATCTAACCTTTCATAGTAACACAAAATGAAATCTTAATATTTTTAACCAACCACACATGTCTATCACATAGAATTTTATTTATTAAACACTTACTAATTTATTTATATTTCATATATGTATCAAATATTGTTTTAGGTAATGCACTGACATGGTTGAAAAATTTAGAACAGCATAGAATGGTAGCTACGGAAAAGTCTCCCAACCTATACCTACCTGACCAGTCTCCAACACTCACCCACATCCTCCCCACCATGAAAATAAGTAATACTCATTAATCATTCCTTAGTTAAGTTTCTCCTTTGGGGATGTTAAATACCTACTCCTGAATAGGTGGAAGAAAGAAATCATATTTTTAACATTTGAAAGCTGCAATTTTCACAATAAGACAGCATAAAAGTTATACATACCCTCTTATAAGATTGCATATATTTAAATCTTAGGCTTTTCTTTACCAGTATCTCTTGAGAAATAAGATTCAGTCAGAACAGACTAAATTGGCTACATCCTGTACCAATCCTCCTGGAAAGCATCACCACAAATGTACAACTTTCATATTCATTCAATAAGTATCTACTGTGTGGTGGTCAAACTTGAGCATGCGTCAGAATTATTAAAGAGATTGGTAATACGGAAATTGCTGACCCTCAACTCAAGATATTCTGATTCAAGATGACTGGGGTGGGGTCTGAGAACTTCCAGTTCTAACAAGTTCCCAAAAGATGCTGGTGCTGCTGTTCTGAGGACAACACGCTCAAAGTCACTCGTTTATTGTATCTATTAATTGCTAAGGCAAGGCATATTTCTGTGCAGAAATCTAAGTATACAAATACAAAATATCATCTCCCTCCTTGAAGAGCACATTTGCAGGGTATAAGTAAGATTGTAATGCAAAGGAATATACGTAGAGGCAGAATGCTTAAGGAAAAGCTGGAGGAATTCCATAGAAGGAGCAGTCTGTGGCAAGATGAATAAATGAATGGAGCAAGGCTTACAATACCATGCTGCAGTCACAAAAAAGTTTAGGTTTGCTATAACATTAAAAGAAAAAAATATAAGCCTGAATACATCAAAAGGTTTTTCTCTATGTATGAAAAAAACAGGAAACCACAGAGTACCGAAGAGAGACACCACATCAGACACCATTTAGAAGAAACATGCATCAGGCTGGCTCTGATTAAGGTTACCAAAATGGTGCTGTTTTAAAAGAACAAGGAAAACTTTTGATAATATTAGAAGGCTATTGATTTATAGTGAAGTGCAAATATGCACTTGTCCAGCTTCATTACAGTTACAGTAGAAGTAGTGACAACTAAGAAGCACATTTTCCTTTTCCATATTAAAGTTCTAAATATTCCACACACAAAAGGGACATGAGCCATGATATTCAATGTAAAAAAATTAAAGAACTACTGATTTAAGAATGGAATATGTTTTATCTTTTGTATAGAGATCTTTAAAAAATGTGTCTTGTGAATAAAGTATAAAAATAAATTGACTAAATAGACACTGTTAATATCTATTATAAAAAAAATCCTCATCCCAATATTTAAGGTACCTGCAGATCATAATTCTTTTGAATAGCCAATGATTTCCCAAAGCAAATTATTTTTTAAAAATGTACAAATTTCTAAAATTGTAGTTTAACATAGCACTTTGGAATAATCCTATATAATAAAGAGGTGATATGCAAACTGACTGTCACACCCTCACACGAGATGGCTGCCCCCACATGGGCACAAGATTGTCGGCAGGAGAGGGCAGTTGTGGGCGATCAGCCCAGCAGGAGAGGCCGGCAGGGGAGGGCAGTTTGGGGGGACCAGGCCAGCAAGGGAGGGCAAATGGGGACGACTGGGCCGGCAGGAGAGGCTTCATTACAGTTACAGTAGAAGTAGTGACAACTAAGAAGCACATTTTCCTTTTCCATATTAAAGTTCTAAATATTCCACACACAAAAGGGACATGAGCCATGATATTCAATGTAAAAAAATTAAAGAACTACTGATTTAAGAATGGAATATGTTTTATCTTTTGTATAGAGATCTTTAAAAAATGTGTCTTGTGAATAAAGTATAAAAATAAATTGACTAAATAGACACTGTTAATATCTATTATAAAAAAAATCCTCATCCCAATATTTAAGGTACCTGCAGATCATAATTCTTTTGAATAGCCAATGATTTCCCAAAGCAAATTATTTTTTAAAAATGTACAAATTTCTAAAATTGTAGTTTAACATAGCACTTTGGAATAATCCTATATAATAAAGAGGTGATATGCAAACTGACTGTCACACCCTCACACTGGGCCAGCAGGAGAGGGCAGTTGGGGCAACCGGGCCCAGAGGGAAGGGGAGGGCAGTTGGGGGCGATTGGGCCGGCAGAGGAGGGCAGTTCAGAGTGACCGGGCCAGCAGGGGAGGATTGGGGGCAATCAGGCTGGCAGGGGAGGGCAGTTGCGGGCAACCAGGCTGGCAGGGGAGGGCAGTTGGTAGCGACCAGGCCGCAGGGGAGGGAGCTGGCAGTGGAGGGCAGTTGGGGGCAACCAGGCAGGCAGGGGACAGCAGTTGGGGGGAACCAGGCCTGCAGGAGAGGGCAGTTAGGGGCGACCAGGCCAACAGGGGAGGATAGTTAGGGGTGACCGGACCAGCAGGGGAGGGCAGTTGTGGGGGAGCAGGCTGGCAGGGGAGGGCAGTTTGAGGGGACCAGGCCTACAGGGGAGGGCAGTTAAGGGTGACCAAGCTGGTAGGGGAGGGCAGTTGGGGGCAACGAGGCTGGCGGGGGAGGGCAGTTGGAGGTGACCAGGACAGCAGGGGAGAGCAGTCTGGGGCAACTGGGCCTGCAGGGGAGGGAGGGCAGTTAGGGGGGGACCAGACCTGCAAGGAGGGCAGTTAGGGGCTACCAGGTCAGCATGGGAGGACAGTTAGGGGTGACCGGGCCAGCAGGGGAGGGCAGTTGGGGGAGATCGGGCTGGCAGGGGAGCAGTTAGGCGTTGATCCAGTTGGGAGCGACCAGGCCAGCAGGGGAGGGCAGTTGTAGGTGACCAAGCTGGCAGTGGAGGGCAGTTGGGGGCAACCAGGCAGGCAGGGGACAGCAGTTGGGGGGAACCAGGCCTGCAGGAGAGGGCAGTTAGGGGCGACCAGGCCAACAGGGGAGGATAGTTAGGGGTGACCGGACCAGCAGGGGAGGGCAGTTGTGGGGGAGCAGGCTGGCAGGGGAGGGCAGTTTGAGGGGACCAGGCCTACAGGGGAGGGCAGTTAAGGGTGACCAAGCTGGTAGGGGAGGGCAGTTGGGGGCAACGAGGCTGGCGGGGGAGGGCAGTTGGAGGTGACCAGGACAGCAGGGGAGAGCAGTCTGGGGCAACTGGGCCTGCAGGGGAGGGAGGGCAGTTAGGGGGGGACCAGACCTGCAAGGAGGGCAGTTAGGGGCTACCAGGTCAGCATGGGAGGACAGTTAGGGGTGACCGGGCCAGCAGGGGAGGGCAGTTGGGGGAGGGCAGGGGGGCAGGGGAGCAGTTAGGCGTTGATCAGGCTGGCAGGGGAGTGATTAGTGGGTGATCAGGCAGGCAGGCAGGCAGGCAGTTGAGCGGTTGGGAGCCAGCAGTCCCGGATTGTGAGAGGGATATCCAAGGGGTCCCAAATTAGAGAGGGTGAAGGCTGGGCTGAGGAACACCCACCTAGTACACAAATTGCACTGGGCCTCTAGAAATTTAGAAAGGGGCAAGCTATATTTCCACAATACTTGGGTAAATCAGACTCTCTCATAATTCACTTGTGATAAACCTAATGTTCAAACAAGCATTGGCTAGAATCTTAATTAAGAAGTAACAGGAATTAAGAAGGGCAATATTTGGTTAACTACTATACACAGAAGTTTGTATAACAAATACTCTTCCTTTGATCAGCTGAGCCAAATACCCACCATAGGGATAAGGTGGGGGGAATGGTTGGAAGGGGGGGATCATGAGTGAAAAACAGAAACAGAGTACAATGACAACTTTTAAAATTTTGTTTAAATCTGTTATACTAAGGAACTTTCCAAAGAGGATTTCAAGTTGCTACCACATTCATTCCTGGTGTATCTTGGGGGACAGGAGGGAAGGTGACTTTTCCCATCTTTAAATTAAACTGTAGCAACAAGACAGAGTGGTGGTTTCTACTACCTCTCTCCTGAGAGATGAAGAAAGTGAGAAAAAAACATTAATGGTGAATTGTCTTACAAATACACAACAATATCAGTGTGCTAACTGAGACTGAGGAAAAGGAAAGAGGAAGAAAAGGAAAAGAAAGGACATACAAATGCCACCTAAGCTTTAATATCTCATCAATCCAGAAATATTTTCATCTGTCCTTTTGCCACTTATAATTGAATTAACTTTCAAATCCACTGCAAAGCACAAGTAACTGTCAATCCACAAAGAATGGAATACAAGACCAATAGGAGCCAGATACTTGTAATAATAGTATGATTTCCAGATCTTTAGACTTCCAATA